ATAGGCGGGGTGCAGTGGCTCATTTCTGTAATCCCAGCACTTTGGGATGCTGAGGCAGGTGGATCACTTGAGGTCAGCAGTTCAAGACCAGCCTGACCAACATGAAGAAACCTCGTCTCTACTAAAAATACAAAATTAGCCAGTGTGGTGGCACATGCCTGTAATCCCAGCTACTCAGGAGTCTGAGGCAGGAGAATCACTTGAACCCAGGAGGTGGAGGTTACAGTGAGCCAGGTGGGAGGTGACCAGACCATGGGGCAGATTTCTCCCATGCTATTCTTGTGATAGTGAATGAATTCTCATGAGATCTTCCTTCCTCAGTTTCTCTATCCTGCCAACCTGGGAAGAAGGTCATTGCTTTCCCTTCACCTGCCACCATGACTGAAAGTTTCCTGAGGTTTCCCAGCCATGCTTTCTGTTAAGCCTGCGTAACTGTGAGTCAATTAAACCTCTTTTCTCCATTAATTACTCCAGTAGTTCTTTATAGCAGTGTGAAAATGAATTATTACAATAGGTGTAGTTATGTGTGTACGCATGCATATATGTATACATGTGCATATATATACACACACATATACATTTACACATATGTGCATATATGTAGATACATATATAGGTGTTTTTGTATATAAGTATACACATGCACACATATATTCATATATATACATATATGTATTATGTATTGGCAATAACTATATATGCAGCATTTTCAACATATAAAGATAGAGAAAAATGTTAACAGATAGATATTCAACCAGGACTGTGAAAAACAAAGCCAAGTAAATAATGAGCAATTATTGAATTAAATTGATAGGTCTCAATTACCTATAAGATATGTAGCATTATTCTTTAAACTATAGAATGTTATGTTATCACACGTAAGTGTTGTGTTTGCTATTCATGCCTATAATACGGCAAAAAGTTTCAAAAAGCAATTTAGTGAATAAGACTGCTCTAGTGTACAATAACAAAATTAGAACTATTAAGTAATGCCAATAATAGTATTGAGGAATACGTACTTCATAATGCCAAGCTCATTATAACATGTGTTCTATTGATTTATTGCTTCATAGAATATTCCCATCAATGACCTCAAAGGTCAACTATCCTCAGAGATTTACCAATGATGCTACATTCTATTAATTAATTGATTCATAGAATAATCCCTTCAATGACCTGAAAACTCAGCTATTCTCAGAGATTTATCAATGACAAATAAATAAAGCTCCAAATAAAGTGAGACAAAATACAAAGTTCTGTGTAAACCATTGTTATTAGCACAGAATAAAAGGAAAAAAATGTTCTGAGATAAATTGGAAGGCAAATATGCTTGGACTCTTGTTGACATGGCATAACCCACTCTTCAAGGGCATAGCCTGCACTTTTTTATTCTATAAATGTTTCTTGGTTTAAAGAAAACATTGTCCTGGGGTCTGTTTGTAGTCCTACCATTTCAAATAATATAATAGTGAATAACTACTATATCTTACTTCAGTAAGTTTTATGGACATGATAGGGCAGGGAGGGAGATAACACTCCTAAGAATAGAGCTATGGACTGAAATTGTTTTCTTCCAAATTCATATGGTGAAATCTTAACTGCCAGTATGATGGCATTTGAAGATGGAGCCCTTTGGGAGATAATTAGGTTTAGGTGCGGTCATAAGGGGTCCATCATGTTGGAATTAATGTTTTTACAAGAAGAGACACCAGAGAGAGATGGCAGTCATCTACGAGCCAGGAAGAGAGCCCTCACCAGTCCTCGACTGTGCTGGCACCATGATCCCAGACTTCCAGCCACCAGAATTGAGAGGAAATTCTTTTCTGTCGTTTAAGCCTCCCAGTCCATAGTTAGCAGAATGAAATAACTAACACAAATAGTATCATAAATTAGCCAAGGACAGGAGAAATGTTCTGGGTTAGTGAGCTTTGCTTATATAAGGATGAATTTACTTAGATGTAAATTCATATATGAAATATATACTTTATAACTCATCACAAATAAAAACACTCAAATAAGGACCCCAATAAAGTAGTATCAAATGACATCAATAGAGGTCTATAAATTCGAAGTTTCTTGGTAACCTCCTTGATTGCTCTAATCAAGTGGAATAGCATAGATCCCGTGCTCCACCCTGGAACTTTATAAACCTTGGTCTTGGCCAAATTCTCAGTAGCTGCTTTCACCCAGGTTTCTGTGTGAGACCCCAGAGACAGCCTTCTTAACTTGCACAAACCCACAGAAAGCACGAAGCTCTAAGAATTCCTTGCCAACACTTTTTTTCTAGCTTTTGCCCAAATATGAATGAGACAAAATGTGTCTCAGAGGTGCAGGAAGCCCATTAATTCTGCTTCTGTGGCCAACTAAATAGAATGCAAATCTTTTTAACAGAGGGTGTCATACATACTATACAGTCCTCAGTCATCTAGCTCTCCTGCACATACAGAAATCAGCTTTTAAACACTAGATGCCTATGACTGAAAATCTTCCTTCTTTTGAATCTTTGTGATGTACTTTTATCCTCTTTTCTCATTTTTTCTTTAGTTTTTATATTTAATCATCCTCCTGCAACATGTCTCCTATTTTCCTCATGATTGTTCTGTTCATTTTATCTTTTTACATCCATTTTTAACTAATCTGATTTTTTAGCTTAAAAAACTTGTCTCCTCACCCACTAACTTGAAACCAGGTAAATGGTTGCATCTTATTCATCCTAAAAATGTCCTACTTTTTTTCCCATCTTTCCAAGAATTCCCAGTTCCTCATATTGTTCACAGAACTCCCGTTGTTGTGAGGTTTTGGGACTTTCTACTAACAAAGATGACTTTTACCACCCCCATGCTAGAACAAGATTAAAGATTAGGAGTAGGGTGAGTTAACAGCCAGATGAAATTGAGAGCTAGGAAAAAGTAAGAAGTTAGGGGGAGTTGCTTCTCCTCACTGAAAGGATGGCTACTTTAAGGGTATCAAGCAGGGAGTCTTTATGGATTACACTGGTTCATTCCCACTGTACCCCACTGAAGCCTACATCTCTTATTGAAATCAAAGATGTGTGCTTGTGAATACTTCCCATATGAGTGACATTTGATTTAAAGACATTTTCTGAATCTGAACACTTTGCCATGGACTCCTTAATTGCAATAAAATTGATGAAAAATACCTGGGAATATCAGTAGTCTATCAACCTGTGATTCACTATAAGGCGGAGGAAAATTAGACTTTCAAAATTTTACCTAGTGCAAAGTTTCACATTTTAATATTCAGAATTATTCAGAATCTCCTGGAAGATTGTGTGAATGCTGGTTGCTTGGCACTGGATGATACTGGGAGGCTGAAAGTTACTCCAGAGAATAAAGACTCCCAGATTCTGAGATCTGACTTTGGCCACCTGTTTAACGAAATGTTCTGGACTAAAAAGTTTTTCTGACCACAGAAAGTTTGTCATGTAACAGAGTGAAGCAGCACACATAGCTGGAGCAAAGACTATGTTCCGATGCTTTTCCTGACTTTGCCATTCTTATATGACTTTGGGATAATTACTTCTAGCCTCAATTTCCACATCTGTAAAATGAGGATAACACTAGTACCTATTTCTTAGAATTTTTAGAGAATTTAAAGAGCTACTAAATATATAAAACTTAGAACAGTTCCTAGTACATAAGAAACACCAAATATAATTTAGCTATTAGTCTTAAGGATATCTAATTAGTCTTCCTTAAAACTATACTGAATCCCTCAGGCATAATTCTATACTTCTGCGCAGTCATTTACAGTTACAAGTCTTCCAATACTCAGGAGAAAGATCTTTGCGCTGTCCAGAAGTTGAACAATATACTGAGCATGTCCTAGAGCGTGGTTTTGTGACCAGGAAGAAAGAAACAATCTGGAATCAGAAATGCTGGAGTTGTGTTTTAAGCTTTTTTTAAGAAACAAAGTTGTGGTCATTGACCAATAGTTTTTATTTATTAATTTTAGTAATTATAAAATGTGAACCATGGAGGCTGGCTGAGCTAAGAAACTGTAGCATGAACTTCGAACTGTGAACACTGGTTATAGAAACATGGATTTTGTTATTCGATAAAATTAAAAATGCAGTAGCTTATTTGGTACCTACATCGTGATATGCTGCTGAATATTTATGCATAATAAATTAATTTGTTAGCACTGCATTTATAATACCATATCAAAATTCAGCTACTCGGAAGGCGGAGGCAGGCAAATCACTTGAACCCTGGGGGTGGAGGTTGCAGTGAGCTGAGATCACGCCATTGCCCTCCAGCCTGGACGACAGAGTGAGACTACATCTCAAAAAAAAATAGCTTTTTATTAATTTTTGGACAAGCTGCATGGATTTAAGATGGCAGACTCTGGAGCCAAACTGCTGATACTTGAAACCCACCCCCACTACCCACCCTGTGCATGAACTCTGGCAGCTTACTTAATTCCCCTCTCTACCTCAGTTCCCTCATTGTAAATGAAGAAATAACTAAACCTCCCCATTAGCTTTTGATAATAACTAAATTATGTAATATATTCAAAGCACCTAGAATAGTGCTGGACATAGAGTAAACTCCCCAAAATTGTTTGCTTACATTATTATTTATCGCTTAGCACTTTTGCTGGTCAACATTAGATATAAATTTTAATGGTTTTATTTTAAAACTGCAGGGCATTTTAATGTTCATTTAAATTTAATATATTATAATGGATCACTTAATGGTTAGACTGTACATCATCAGCATTACGCACACCCACAAGAAAATCAGGTGAAGACACAATGGCTTGGAAACTTATTTGAAAATAAAGTTTCTTTTTTGTTAGGTTTTATATCTTTATTCAGGTTTTTTTTAGGTTTTATATCTTTATTCAGATGTGATTCAACTATAGAATCACATCTGAATAAAGATATAAAACCTAAAAATTAGATTTTAGCATTATAAAATCCAATGTTTTGAAATTTTTTTTTGCTCAGCAATACCGTTGTACTTTACAACTTTTATAATCCTAAAGAGATTCTCTTATTTGGAGTTTTTCATGCATTCAGGTATTTGGCATGATGTCTGATGTGATCAGTAATAAAGGTTGCAATGAAGTAGTAGCTATGTTCATAACCCTCTTGTAATCGAAAAACAACTGGGATTTTCCTTTCTGTACAAGCAGCTATGAAGTTATCAGGGAGTAACTGCTCATCTAAAAGGAACTGGTCATCTTTTCCTTGATCAGTTAGTATGCCCAGCTGAGAACCTGGATAGGATTTCACAAGATGGGTAGCATTATATGCCTTCCATTTACTTTGATCTTTTCCCAAATATCAACTAAAGGCTTTTTTGCCCCAGGGACAGAGTACAGGGTTGCAAATTGGAGCAAATGCTGACACAGATTTGTATTTTCCAGGATTTTTCAAAGCACAGATCAGAGCTCCATGGCCTCCCATGGAGTGACCAAAAATAGATGTCCTTTGGGGATCCACTGGAAAATTGGCATTTATGAGTTGGGGAAGCTCCTCTGTGATGTAAGAATACATTCTGTAGTTGGTTTTTCAAGGATCTTCTGTGGCATCAGCATAAAATCCAGCACCAGTGCCAAAGTCCCAGCTCTCATCTTCTCCTTTAGCATTGCAGCCATGAGGGCTGGTGTCTGGAGCAATGACAAAAAGACCATGTTCTGAAGCAGCTTGATGATAACCAGATTTTGATATAAAACTCTGTTCTGTGCAAATTAAACATGAGAGCCAATACAGTGCAGGGCACTTTCCAGTTTCTGCCTTTGGTGGTAAGTAGACAGCAAATTTCATTTTGCAGTTCAGTTCAACACTGACATGTTCAAAACCTTTCTGCAATCCCCCAAAGCACTTGTTGCTGGAAATCTGCTTCAATGTCATTATTCTCCCGTCCAATTGTTGATTGCTTTTTGCTTGAACCAAAGGGTAGACAATCTTCCGGCGGCAGAGTTACCAGAAGACCAAAAATAAAGTTTCTTTCGGTCATGTCCGTGATCTATGGCTACCTCTTCTCGACACCAGTTGTTCAGTTCTGCCTCCCGCCTCTTCTTCAGTGGGACTCATTGAGTGCATGAAGTGTTTGGGGGCAGAAGTCTCTGTATAGCAGATTCTTAGTTTCCATGGACCATGAGTCTACCAATTTCCTTTCTGGAATTGCCTGCAAAATTAAACATGCAGGGAAGACAGGAAGAAACTAGAGATCTCAAAAAAAAAAAAAAAAAAAAAAAAAAAAAGGCAGGGGGAAAGAATATAGGGAAAATGGGCTTAGAAATAAGATAATATTAAGGTTAAGAGTTAAGAGTAAGGCCGGGTTCAGTGGCTCATGCCTGTAATCCTAACACTTTGGGAGGCTGAGGCGAGCAGATCACCTGAGGTCAGGAGTTTGAGACCAGCCTGGCCAATATGGCAAAACACTGTCTCTACTAAAAATACAAAAATTAGCTGGGAGTGGTGGCAGGTGCCTGTAATCCCAGCTACTAGGGAGGCTGAGGCAGGAGAATTGCTTAAATCCTGGGTGGTAAATGTTGCAGTGAGCCAAGAAAGTGTCACTTCGCTCCAACCTGGGCAAAAGAACAAGACTCCATCTCAAAGAAGAAAAAAAAAGTTGAGTAAAAGTAGGACAGAAAATACCAGCCCCAGTATCTTTTAGCTACTTCTCATCAGCCACCCTCTAGGTTCCTCCAAAACTGCTCATCCGGTTCAGATTTATGGCTGGGTGCTGGACAGTAGGTGTAATCTTTCCCTTCCTGTAGTGCTTCGGTCATTTTATCCTTCATGCTTTAATTCAATATGCCATTATGTAGCACTTTCTCTGGGCAAAGCAATCATTCTATTAGACATTTCCCCTGGAGAAGGGAAAGGCAATTACCCGGATGAAAAAAAAAGACACAAGCGTTTGTGGTTAACTGGAAGAAACTGATAAGGGTACAGAAACATTACAATCAAGTTAGTGATCATAAGTATTACGGGTGCTGAGAGAGAGGAATGACTAGTTCTGCCTGGGTAATCGGGGGCATTTTCCCAGAGGACTTAGCACTCAAGTAAGTCTCTAAGGACAAATAGGCACTCCTCAGCCTGAAATAAACCATATTTCACAGGGTTTGAGGCATGCAGAAGAATGATATATTCTGGAAGCTGTAGTTCCTTATGGTTGTAATAGAGGGAGTGTGGGTGAAGGCAGAAGACGTGGAGGAGGAAGTGGGGTCGTTGAGAAATCATGCGCCCAAATAGGTTTAATATGTCTCTTTCATCTTTCTTCTCCTCCCACCATCCTCTCTAGTGTGACTAAATGAGAGATGCTTGGAAGTTACTGTTTCTGGTTCCGGGGAAGGCGGTGAATCCACGCAGCTTGGAGAATGGCCTGGGGTGACCTAAGCATCTGGAAGGTCCGTTTTCAGTTTCCAAGCTGGGACCGCTGGGTGGCTAGTGGTGACACTAAGTTACTGAACCAGATAGGGGTCTGTTATTGGATTTTCTCACATCATAGCTAATAGCGTCAGTAAAACATAAAACATAATTTACTACTGTACTTTTTAAAAGTTGCCTTATTGAAAATTACACATACACTGCATTGGTATAGATGGCCAGCCCTGTGTGTGCGTGCGTGCGTGTGGGTGTGTGTGTGTGTGTGTCAACTTTTTTAGCCTGTAAAGTCTCACAAACCCTGAAGAACAAGCATGCTTTTCTAATGTTCTTAGTTGAACATATTTCTCTGTATTTAGAACAAGAGTCCAGTATGGGCTTTTTGTGTCCATGGAAGTGTCAGACCAGGTATCAATGGCCTAGGAAATGTTGAGAATCTCACAAGCCATGACCAGTTATTTATTCTCTGACAGCAGAGTGTGGAAAGGGATCAGCTTTCCTCCAGCCAGTCTTAGAGACTTGCAGTATGGTTGAAACAAATACTCTCTTCCCATATATTTTTACTCTGGATTGTGCAAAATACTTCTATCTAGCAGAAAGAGACAGAGAATTCTTTGCTCATGTTTTCCTGGGACTTACCCTAGTAACACTCCCTGGAAACTCTACCTTCCAGGTCATATAAGAGCACAGAATAGCTTAGCAGAAAAGGAAACTGATATGAAAAGTGGACAGGAAGTTGCCCAAAAAGGTCTTATTTAAATCCAAGCAGCAAAAAATGAAGAAATGCACAATTAATTGATTTCCTAATGTATTAGGAAGTAGTAACTCAATCTCTTGTGACCTAAAATTGAGTTAAACGAGGAGAAAAATAATATCAACACGTTAGTTTGTATAATGTGATGTGCTTATTAAGAAAGTCTACTGGATGGTGATGCTACACAAAGTAAAATGCTCATATTTCAACATGATCTGCTTTTAAGTTACAAAAACTAAAACTGAATATACTTTCTGTTGGCATCTTATAAAAAAGTTCTTAGAGAATCTCAGCCTAATAGTTCAGTACCAGCAGCACCAATTTTGTGCAGTTCTCCTGAAAGCTTTCAGCAGTAAATCTCTAAAAATGTCCACTTAAGCAGTAGAGATCATAAACATTTCGTGAGAGCAATAAAACAGAACAGAATTTTGGAAGTTATAATTTTAGTGGATATAACTGCACTTTATAAAAGGAAAGCCTCTGGGACCCAGAATAAATGCAAAACTCTGCCTGACTGAACTGCAGGACTAACCCATCTGCAAGTGGTAAATTATCCCCAGTCCCAGGTGTGGTACATTATCCTAAGGGTGTCCAGTGATTAAAGGTAAGAACGTGGCTAAAATCCAAGGGAGCACTGAACATTAATGATGGCTGGAAATTGTCAACAATTTCTCTGGAAGTTTGATTCTCTTCTATTTGTTCACATTAGCCAGGCCCAAAGTTCAACGGATTGTCTATGATCAGTTCCTGGAGTGTATAGATACACCAGTGAAAGAAGCCCAGAGCCTCTTTATTTGCCCCGGAAGGAGTTTACACAGAAAAATAAGCGTTAATCCTATTACCTGTAATCCCTCAGGCTGCCAGAAAGGCAGACATTTACTGAAGCCTTTTTCCTAAAATTCAACTGATGATTGCAAAACAACATAAAAATTTCCCTACATTTGTACTTTCCCTTCTACCTCACTTATTCTGTTTAGCACGTATTTGCTTAAAGGTTATTTCACATTTAAATCCATGTCTGGGTGTTAGAAACTTCCAAAGAACCAGGGTTAAGCTTAATTGATTTCCTCAACTCTGCCACCATCCCACCTCCCCACACATTCATTTGTACATAAAGAGCACTATGGATTTTAAATGCAAGTGACTATTATTTCATAGTTACATCCATAGTTTTGTTAACATCCTTTATATTTTCCACCAAGTTGTTCAATTGTCTGTCTGCTTGGCCCCAGCCTAATTTTAATTGGTATAGTCTAGGCAACTCATAATTACAGTATTGAATGAGGGTAGCAGGAATAGGAAAGTTACATCTGAAGAACAGATGAAAAAAAAAAACGTTCACGCAAGGAGACCCAAGCTTCTGATTTTTAATCAGCATTTGATTGTAACCTATTAAAATGCCAAATCACTTGGCACCATTGTGCTATGTCTTCATAGCTTAAAATAGTCACTGTGAAATAGTCATTCCACCCCAGTTTTCCCATCTGATAATAATAACACATTGTACCTTTTGCTGTTGCTTCTAATTTTTTGGTTTTTGTTATTGTGCAATGGAAATGTCAGCCTCTTGCATCTAAGGGTCACCTTCTAGTTTATTTGGAAAATAAAAGGATAAGAGAGTTTTGTCTCATGTCTCCTCCTGAGTCATTGACTTGGCAGTGCTGGCCACATCATGTGTTCCTCTCAGCCTTGCTTTCAGCATGGCCTTTGGTCACGACTCTGTTCACTGCTGTTTACCACGTGGACTTGGGTTTTCCTTGGTAGTATAGCACTAGTACAAGAAAGGCCACACTTTCTGCCACTGACCTGCTACGTTGCTCCCATTAATACTCAACCACAAAGTTTATGTGTGTTAGGAATTCTGCTGCAGTTTTGGAGGTTGTTCCAAGTAAAACTCTCTAGAAAAAAGAAAAAGGAAAAAAACTTGCTGGATACTCTTATGGGTTGGTTTTACCCATGGCCTTTTTTCAATCTGGGCACTCCTGGGATAGAGTAATCATCCCACAGGACCTTTCCCAAAGACTGAGATGGAGAATCCATGGCAAACCTATATGAACAGGGAGTGGGAGTTGGATTTGGAAGGAGAAGGGCCTGCAGAAAATACCCTATAATGGGTTCTGCAGCTGAAAGTCTGGTTACCATCCCAGGCCCTCTGCTAGTGTGAGGGAAACCCAGCCTAGGTTCCTGGGTGGATGTGTGTTGTTTTTGCACACCCAGAATTATTCTCTGTATACTTGTGATTGTGACTTGAATTTCCCTGGGGGATCAACTCCACCCACTTCCATTCCTTGTGGTTTAGGTTGGGCTGGCCCAACTCCTGGACTCAAAGGTGAACTCATGACCCAGATCTGGACAATTGGTATTGTGGTCTGGCCATGAGGATTGGTTAATCACTCTTTAATCTAAATAATCCCAGGAATTTTTTTGTTGCTATTGTTTTTTGGAGCAACTAGAAAATACAGGTTGTGGGGTGTGTGTGTGTGTGTGTGTGTGTGTGTGTGTATGTGTGTTTGTATCCTAAGACAGCTAGCAGAGAGGATGAAGTGAGTCTGAACTGCCAACAGGCACCATAAAAGCATAAAAATAAGGACAAACAAGAGGAAAGCAGGGTTGACATGTGAGGACAGACTGGCTCTGATGATGGTATTTGAGACCCCTGGATCTACCCATGATCAAAGCTGGTACTGCTGGAATTTTCAGTGTGAGAACAAAGTATTTTTTTTTCTGCATTATCAATTTGAATTGATTTCCTGTCATTCACAATCTAAAGGTTCCTGAATGATATATTTTTGAATTTTTTCCTATTTATACAAGTTCCATGAATACTCACTCACACACA